GGAAAATAAATATGGTGCAGATCTGCAAAGATCTGCTACCCTGCTAAAAAATAACAAATTTTACGATATCTCGTGAATCAGTGATCAAAACTCAACAATTTTGGTACATTCGATTCGTCTCAATGAGACGGATCGAATGGTACCAAAATCGTTGAGTTTTGATTACTGGTTCACGATATAATTGCATTTAAATAATTTTTTAAACACCTACATAACTCGCCACTCAGTGGTCCAAATTTAATGATTTTGGTACCATTCGATTCCTCTTGATGAGACGGTTCGAATGGCATCAAAAACGCTAAAATCTAATCATTGAGTGACAAGATATTCGCAAAAAACGTTTTGCAGCGCAGTTCTGCGCAGAACTTTAAATTTTGTTTTTTAAAGTTCTGTGCAGAACTGCGCCGCAAAACGTTTTTTGCGAATATCTCGCCACCCAATGATTCGATTTTAGCGTTTTTGCTGCCATTCGAACCGTCTCATCAAGAGGAATCGAATGGTACCAATATTATTAAATTTGGACCACTGAGTGGCGAGTTATATAGGTGTTTATAAAAATCACTTAAACATAATTATCTCGAGAACCAGTAATCAAAACTCGACGATTTTGGAACCATTCGATCCGTCTCATTGAGAAGAATCGAATGGTACCAAAATTGTTGAGTTTCGATTACTGGTTCATGAGATATCGTAAAATTTGTCATTTTTTTAGTAGGGCAGCAGATCTTTGCAGATCTGCACCATATTTATTTTCCTGATATATATCTTGATCAGGTTTTTATATATAATTTTAAATTTTTTACCTCCCTCCCCCCTAAAAAATCACCTGATTTTTGTCATATCCCTTATGTTGATCACCCTTCCAAGCAAGTACCCGTATCTTCTTTCCAAATAAGAACTTATTCGCGCAATCCGTTGACTACCCTTCCAAGCAAGTACCCCACAAGTTAGATGTAGGGATGTTGGTATTGCCACACTTGGAGATACAAGGATGTTAGTGCTACCCCATCTTTTAAGAACTTATTCACGCAATTGTCATAGCTGCAGTCTTCTGTAAAACTATAGTTACATAGTGTCAATACTCTATATTTCTAAATCTGAAATAGAATATATAATTAATATTACACTAGAAATTATTATAAGTAGTTAAATTTGTATAGTTTAATACTAATAGTTTTTATCTGTATAATTAAGTCTAGCTATATATATGTCACATGTCGCTTTATGAGATCTCTGAACTTCAAATTAACATGTGTCATTTCAAAATTTATACTGATTGAAATGTAATATATGTCAATATTAACTGTGCTCAAATTTAACTACAAAATTTTTTTTTTTAATCATATAATTAATCATAAAATTAATCATACAATTAATTATATAAAAAAGCTACAATCGATATTTAAAAAAACTTTAACGATTTTTATTTTCTTTATTTAGTATCAATATGATCTCTAATAATCTAATAGTTTTTTTATTTCTATCATCCCAAGCCTTTAAAAAAATTGTAAGCGATTATATGAATAATCGAAAAAATGAAAGGCACATAATGAATTGGTCAAAATATAATCATTGTTTAACTCTTTTACGAAACCCTAAAAGTAAACATGAAAATCCAAATTTTAAATATTAGGCAACTCATACATTTAAATTAGTTAAAGTTGGCGTTGTTGAAGAATTAAATCTTAAGACAGAAAACAATAACCGTGGCACCCAAGTTTGTCTGATTGAAGATTTCTACAATGTAATTTGCTAGGCTCATCAAGATACGGAGCACGGTGGTCAAGAAAAACGTGGCTAAAAGCAAGTTTTTATCAAAATTAATAAAAAAAAATTTTTTTAGAATATATTATATACTTATTGTGTATATATAATAGATTTGACAACAATATTGCTTTATACCTCAAACAATAGTAAAAAATGCAGTCAAACAATGCAATGTATATGTTACACAATGTGCAACAAAACGTGCACCTGCTATGAAACCTATAATCGCTAAAAAATTTCTTGTCTATGTTTAAATAAGTTCTATAATTTGATAATTATTGTTGGGGATGATGCTGAAATCGGATGATGCTGAAATTTAGGGGCGTTAATTTGACAATATAAATCCTACTAAAATCCACCTATACTCTTTTATTATAAACACTAACCCTAAATTCTAATCGAACTATGAAAAAAAAGCTAAACAAAACACCCCAAAAAAATTTTACATTTTTATAATAAAATAAGTCAAAATTTCAGCATCATCCGATTTCAGCATCATCCCTGACAATTATTTTTTTGTTTTAATATTAAGCTTTTTAAAATTTTTAAAGGTTGATACTATAAATATGACGGCAATACCTGACGGTGAATTTAAATATATTATTCATATATGCAACTATTTTACAAGATTTTCTGCAGCAAAACCTGCAAAAACAAAATTTGTAATTGAAACAGCCTGTTTTCTTTTGCAATTTTGTTTAAAATATGGGCTACTATCCGTTTTACATTCAGATAATGGTGGAGAATTTGTTGGTAATGTTGTAAAAGAAACTATGAAACTCTGGCCATCTGTCAAATTTATACATAGACGACCAAGGTACCCCAATGCCAAGGATCTGTCAAGAAAGGTAATGATATTTTACAAACAAAGCTTGGGTCATGGATAGATGAGACTAAATAAAGCAACTAGAGTACTGGATTGCCATTTGTTTTTTTTTTTTTTTTTTTTTTTTTTTACGGTTTATAGAATGACCTCATTGGTCGAGATTTTCCTTTATTAAAGTATCTGCAATCTGTATTTATGGAAGGGTTTACAGTAACATATCAACGAGGATACAATAAGCCACACGTACAACTTTAGTCATTGTCTATTTAAGGGTTCCGCCCATGGGTTCCCCACTTATTGCCATACTTGAGATCTGTGTGTGGGTCCTCTAATTAAACTCTCTGATTTTCAATATTATTCTGATCATATGAACTTTCAATTAAGGTTTTAATCCAGCCTTCGGGCTATTTTACTTGTGAAGTAGATTCTACTGAAGGAGGCGGTTTCCCACAGCCACACCTTATCCAGATTTTTTGTGCCAGAGGTGATTTTATATTAGGTAAGGCCAATCTTTTCCACAAACGTTAATGACATTCTTTATATTTCTCACTATAGTAGTGCCTACGCTCTGCCGTACCGGTTTCCTTCTGGGAATTCCTTAAACCAAAGATGTACTTTCACTTGGACTTCCACAGGGCTTCGCATGTGATAATAGGCTTCTTTTTAGATTACAGAGTATTTTACCTCCAGCCAAACTCGAACTGTCGACCTTGTCTGTGGGTGACAGGAGCTTATCTATTAAGCTATGGAACCCGAACCCTGGATTGCCATTTGTAATCTGTAAGTAAATTTAATACATATAATTATTTAATATTATAAGCAAAATTAAGTAATAATATACTGTATAATCATACATATTGATATGTATATTGCTGCAGGGGCTATAAACAATCAAGTATGTAATGCAACAAAGACAACACCGTATCAACTAGTATTCAGACAGAATTCCCAAGCTGATTTACAATTAATTACAATGCTTTATCAACAAAATATCGTCAAAGAAGAAAATATTCCTTTGGAAAATCAAGCACCAACTGATCAGTCAAATTTAATAATTAATGATTATCGTATTAAATATTTTTTTATAATTTTTTATTATAAATATAGTGCAGCAATATAATTTAATCATAATTTAATTTAATTTTAAAAATTCTTTATTTGCAGAAAGTGATTCATTATTTGAAGATTCAAGTCAGGCAAGCTGTTTCTATACATTAATTGAAGAGTCAGACCAGGAAGGCTATTCACCTGCTAAATATTCAAATAAAAAAAGTCAAAAATCAATTAAAAGCCAATCACGTGCATACCTTGATCATCACAAACCCATATGTGATATAGCAAAACATCATGTTGAAAAAAATCATCAAATTATTCATGATATTATGGAAAAATGTTATAAAACTAAACATCAATTGATTTTTAATCCAGGAGACTTTGTTAAAATTAGAGTTCCAGATATTGATAAGCTAAAGTTGGATAGGCATTCTTTGCCTTGTAAAATTATTTAAAAAAAGCCCAATCTTGATTTCTATCAGGTCAGATGTGAATTTGAAATTTTAGATTCATGGTTTTCAGCCAATGAATTGGAACCTCTAGGTATATTGTAATTGGGTTAAAATTGATTTAAGAGTTTAAATTTAAATTTATTTTTTGC